AGACCTCTAACAAATGATGAAGGGTCATACAGATATGTTAATCCATGAGAAATCTATACATTATACATAATCTCTCAAAGATATGGAGCCTTTGAGAGGATTCAAAAATGATGCGTAATCTCTCATTGGTATGGAAACCTCTGAAATGAATTAAACATGATATATAATCTTACACTACCCTTGCTTTGGTAGGTGACAAATTCAGTCTGAAAATAAAAATAACTGTGGTTGCTCACTGAACCTAGTGTTTATTACATCATCATCTATAGTACCCGCTGTGATAATCCTTCTGATATTGCATTTTATTATAAACAAGCTTTTGAACTGTCCCAGTTGATGCATCAGATTTTTTTTGGGGCGAATATATACTTTGACAACAGTTTACCTGTACTGCTGCATCAACTTTGACAATGGGTTTTCCTTCTGTATTATAATCACTTACTGGAGTGGATGTCTCTGAGAAAACTAAAACATTATATAAAATGTATCAATGACATAGAACTTTTTAATTCTTTCAGTCCCAGTCTTACTTTAAATCAGTACATCTTAAGAATTAATTTCTTTAACTATCAAATGTTTGGGACATTAGAAATTAAAATAATATATTACCATGAGACAACAGAGCTTAAGTATCAACTGGTGCAGTGTAGGTTAATGTAACAACAGGATGGGACACACACAGTTAAGAAATGCCCATCATGCCTACAGAAACCATTAAATGCATGATGAGTTGGTACTGAATTACTTAAGAAATTTAAACATTATATACGTTCTTAAATTTGGAATGGGGGTCTCAGAGTAGACTAAACATTATGAATGATCTCATTCTGGTATCAGAGTCTAACAACTGTGTAATCTTTCACTTAAGAAAGGAAATCTGATAAATCTAAAGCATAAACACATAAACTATGTAAAACCCTTAAAAATATTTATATCTTAAAATTTTGGAATGTTTACAGTTAGGTATAAATAAGTGAAAAACAGATATTCAATAAAGTACACATGTTCAAGAAACATATTTAACTTAACAGTAAATGTGTAGGGTAAAAATAAAGAATAAGTAAGATGTATGTAACGGTACATTGAATAAATATGATTTAGACTGACAAATGTTTATCAAAATGCTACGGTAAAAAAACCAAAACATGTTCACAATATTTGTTGCTGTTTTTGTTGTTGCCATCTTTTGGTCTTTCCAGACAATAGTGTTTAATTTTACTAGAAAATCTAGGGCCAAATTTGGGGGAAAACAAGAACAGACCCACTGCCCCCCCCCCCAAGTACTTCTGGTCCCTTATTCTGACAGCGCACTCTTCTACTGTTCTCCTACTGCAGGGATGTTTAACTACTTTTACTGAGAGCCAAAATGTTGAAGATTTCTGAGCCCCAGCACAGAAAGCTTAGCTTGATACAACTGGCAATGATCTGCAGGCCACTTGCTGGTGCTATGAGGGCCAGATTGGCCTGTGGGCCGCCAGTTGACTAGCCCTGTCCTAATATCTTTCCTTTAAATGAATGAGTAACTGTGTCACTTTTTTGTTGTTGACTGAATTTCAATAACATTTCTTTCTTACTGGCTTTGTTGTGTGGCATTGGTTTTCATATCAGTATGTACAGCCAAACATCTTTGAAAAAGCAAACCTTCCAAGTCACCATGCCAAACGGCTCTCTTGGTCCTTATGCCCTCCAGTTTTCCTGTTGTCATGCCATACTCCAGGATTCTCCTTCTCATGACATCTTCCAAAAAGGTGGACTATCTGCTTTTAATACAGATAACGAATTCTCTTATTAGTTATATTTCTTTTAAGAAATTTAAACATATATATTCCTAAATTTTGGATTGGGCTTTCAGACAAGTTTAGACATGTAGATTTTATTCTGGAATGAGTCTGATAATTGAGTATAATCTGTCAATTGAATGGGAATCTGAGAAAAAGGTTTAGGTTTAAACAATGGATCAACATCATGGCACAAGGATAGTAACCCATAAGTGCTCCATTCTACTTCTAACTTAAGTTTGAGTCCAAGGAATCTCAGCACGGTGCACAAACTCAGTGGCACCAGCCAGGATCCTGAAATACTTAAGATTTTTAACACCAAATTTTGTTTGGGCAGCGCCGTTAGGCTACTCTTTTCGATTTTTAACTGTCAAAGGATTTTTTACGTGCGCAACAATACACACAGGCGTCCAATCTTCTACCCAGAGATCGGGTAAATTACTAGAAGTCCGACTGAAAAAATCCCAGCCTTCACCTGGGCCTCAACCCGGGACCTCCACCACTCGAGGCGGATGCCATGCCTCGAGACCACTCAGCCCCCTAAATCTGATAAAAAATTAAGTATTAAAAGTTTTAAACTTTGTTAACCTACTAAAAAATCCTTTTGTTTAAAATAAGAACATTTACAACTATTTAAAAACAAGTAAAAACATATATTCAATAAAGTACACATTTCCAATAAATATGTTTAAGTAACAGGTTCATATGTTCAATGAGTATGTTTAAGTAACCAGTTTAAATGTGTGGTAAAAATATAGAATAAGAAGTATGCATGATTCATTGAATAAATATTATATAAGCTGAAAAAAAGTTTACCACATTGCCAAGATAATAAAAACACTTTTTACAATATTTATTAAGTTTTGTGATTTTGAAACATAATAAGTATTATGTGCTTCTTTACATGACTAACCTTTGTGATCATCAGTGTTATGACTTCTGAATATAATACAGTACAGACCGTTGAACTCTACCAGACTGTTGTACAGATTTTTCGGTAATTTCCTAATCTGCCGCTATACCGCTGTACCTAATTTTTGGTACTTTGCGTAGAATGTGAAAAAAATGCGCCACAAACTAAAAATAACCAACCAAAAGGGTCAAACCTCAAGGTTAGCAATTTCAAATGTCTGCCCCCATGTGTTTGAGTTGACTCTGTGTGGTTTAACATGAAAAGATTCTAAAATTTCAGAATGAAACAAGCGGCTGATGAACCAAGCACTTTAACAGGAAAGCGAAGTAGGTCTAAGCTTTTCACAGTCAAACATGTGATTGATACTTCGCTTGATTCAGACTCTGAGGAGTCAGAATTCCATCAAGAATATGTTCCCAGTTCAAGTGACACAGACAGTGAGAGCTCGAGTGATGAGGAGAATCTTGAACCTTATAGATCTAGAGCTGGATTGATAGTAAGAGAAGGGGGGCATGTTCCTTAAACAGCTGATCGGGGAGATCTAGGAATTTTGTACAACCAGATCTGAATTTCAATGAGGATGAAAAAGGCCCAGTGAATATTCCTAGATCTATCACAATGGAGAGTGAACCGACTGACTGTTTATCCTTGTTTTTGGAAAATCCTGGAGTGTCTTACAAAGACAATCAAAGCAAAAAGATGAAGAGCGCTTGGAGACATACAGCTGGCACTTGGAAGTCTGACAGTTACTGCATGACATCTCAGGATCACTGTTGCCACTGCATGTATTTCATTTGTTTCTTAGATGCTAAACTCTTAACTCATCTGCAATCAATTTCTGGTGCTCACTTTGCAAGATGTACCTGTGTGTGAAACAAGGCTCACCCTGTTGGGTGGATTGGCACACAAAGGTGGAACATTGGCGCTAGTTGAAAGGTAGAACCATTTTCTACAATGTCTCCAAGTTCCATCTTATTCTAACCACTTCTTTGCATGTAACTATCATTTTGCTATATCATGTAGGTTTTTTCTCTTTAATGCTTAGGAGCCCAGGTATAGGGCACAGTTAGGTTCAGGGCCTCAGGTATGGTAGAGTTAAGGCGTTCTCAGATGTGGCAAATTTCTGTTGTAAAGAACATTTTGTTTATCCCCGGCAATTTTTCTTGTGTGTATCCTTATCAGTATAAGAAGAATTTCTGACAAGAAGAATCATTTCTTGGGTCCCAGGTCAGTTCTCCTTATCAGTTCTGCACTGTATTAACCTTTACATGACTCTTATCTGATCACTCTTTAGTACATTTCAAATACTTTTGTTTCCTTCTATCATCAACACATATTTAACCTGTTCTTCCTACATTGTTTCGCTGAAAATAAGACCGGGTCTTTTAAAAATTTTGCTCCAAAAGACACTGAGCACTTACTTTCAGGGGGTGTGAACTTTTTCACACACATATTGCATTTAAATTACAATATTATTAAAATGGTAATGTCATTAATATATTTACTGATAAAAACGCTATTAGCACCAAACTTGTTCTATCAAGACAAAAGATGGACAGTCCTAAGAAAACAAAAAACACAAAATGTCAACATGTGAGATATATGTAAGACAAAATGTGGTGGGAAAAACAATAAGAGACAGAGAGTCACAGATGAAGAACTAAGTACAATGGTAGTTAAAGTATCAGTTAATGATCTTAAGAACATTAAAGAATCAAATGTTTTAGTCACCTGGTCAGAACAAAATCAGCTAGCAGCTAGAGCCTTCTACATGAGAACAGCAGGCTACAAGGCAAGAGGCAGACCAAGAAAGAGATGGGTGGAGGAAGTAAGGAAGACTACAGAAATGCGCACTTTCAGTATGTACCACATCTCCAGTACTCGCCTAGTCCCAAGTTATTTCCACCGGTTTGGAAAATTCAGAGTTAATTCATTTGAGGAAAGACTTTTCAGTCTGATGAAGAGGTATAGCAGGTGGTACGTGAATGGTTCTTTGTGCGATCAACCCACATAATTTTTTCTGCAGGAATTCAAGCTTTTTATAAATGCTGGAGGACTCGCCTTGAACGCAGTGGTGGCTACAACAAAAATTTATAGATTTTTCCTTACATTGTCAGAATATATTCTCTCTCTCACACACACACTCACGGACACACATAATTAAGGTTTTCATTTAAAGTCCCCTCATATTTTTAAATTATCAAACGTCTTGAGTTAAGAATACGTAAAGAGCTTCGTAGAGCTCTTTGGAAAATTGTTACAGTGAAGCTGACTCAAGCACTAATATCTAAGGTACTTTGATGCAACAGTTAGGGCACTATAGCTGCTGTGTGATAGTATCCTGAGCTAACTAACACTGGTCCAGCAGAGGTTTTTGGCAGCTGTTCCACTTTCTTTGGGACTTTGGACCTGAAGAGGTACCTGTGACCTTCAGGGTGACCCAGCCTTCCATCACTACCACAGCCCCAAGTGTACACACTGCCTTCTGTGGTTGCAGCTGCACTGTGAATACCACCTGCCGACACTGTTTTCACAGTCTCATTGTGAAAGTGCTCTGGGGAGATCAATGTTGGGACCAACCGTTTTTCCTGTGGATGAGACAATTGGCATCTAAGTTTATGAACAAAGAAGACACAAACAACAGATTGCAAAATTTATTACCAGGCATATTTCACTGTATCCTGTCAGGTGCATACTACAGTACACAGTATTTTTAAAATTAAGCAAATACATGAATCCTTCTAACTGAAATTCAAAATCGGCTACATGTAACTGGAGGGGATGAGGGGGTTGGGGGGAGTGAGTGAATTTTGTGATAAATTTGACCAGTTGCCTGAATCATGTTTGTTGAACTGTTGTTGTTATTTCTATTTTGCCCTGTTTTTACCATCCATAGTGGAATATGCCCACCTACTCATTTCTCCACATGTTGATCAGTTTGCCCACACATGTAGCACAAGTGCATTAGTATTTGAAAAAGTAAAAAGTAAAGGATCCCTTTTCCACACCTTTAGATGTATTTGGAATATAGGGCTAGACCTAGATTTGTATAGACCAATCAGCACTTGGTAGGTGATGTAGGTCGATCTGGGAGTCAAGGTCATTTATGAAAAACAGTCTGGCTCCGTCAGGACGCGGACTCACAACCTTCTGATCTGTGGGGGGAGGGGGGTGTCTAGCCGCCAAACGCCACAGCGACTCTCAAATTAGTATTTGCATACTTGATAACTGGCAGAGAGGCGCAGAAAGTTTGACTGACTGCTATTTTCAGCCAATTATATAAATGCTGTATAATGTCATCCCACTGAAAGGTCAGATGGACACAAACTTGCTGTTTAGGCACCACGATTCTGTGGTAGTTTGTTTAAGTGGCTGGAAGTGGCCCTTAATAAATTCATCTGGATATCAACCAGACAGTAGCATATGTTTAAGCCTCTCAAATTCTGTTTGTAGCGTATCACTAGAAATATTTCAGATGCTCAAAAGTGACATTTGCAAAGTTGGTCCATCAATTCAGTCAGTGTCTTTATTCATTGTTCTTGTTATTTATTTGCCTGTTGTGATATTTGTTGCTTTATATGTTATTTTAACAGCAAACAGATTTGATTATAAGTCAGAGGTATTAATTATACTGTTGGCCTGAAGCTTTATAAATGTCTGGACACTCTGGATAATGTACACAGATTCTGCAGTCTGTTTTAATTATGACTTAGATGACCTGCAAAGAAATATTAGATGCAGCCAGGTCAAGATTCGGTACATATGGATAGTTGAAATTAGGCCTAAATTAATGATATTTCCAAGCCAATATCCAAAGAGAGCATTCACTATGACAAATTAATGGGTACCAACTGTTTACGTTCAATCACTGGATCAACATCATGGCATACAGGTGTAACCCCTAAATGCTCTGTTCTTCTTTTAACTCAAGAGTCCAAAGAATCTCGGCACAGTGCATGAACTCTGTTGCACCGGCAAGGATCCTGAAATACTTTGGGTAGATTTTTAACTCAAAATTTTGCCCGGTCAGTGCCGGTCAGTGCCGTTAGGCTACTCTTTTCGATTTCCAAGTGCAAAGGGATTTTTTTAATAATATGCATTGGTGTCCGATCTTACTACCCAGAGACCAGGGAGAAATTACTAGAAATCCACGTGAAAAATCCCAAACCTCACCTGGGCTTGAACCCATGACCCCTAGCACTCAAGGCGGACACCCTGCCTCCAGACCACGCAGCCCCCCAGTGTACCAACTGTTTAGGAGAGCAGTGAATTAATAATGCGATGTGCCCCAGAGTCTGGTTGACTATTTTAGTTGCTAAATCTATTATTAGCACGAATATCACATTTACCTCTATAATTATTCTCTCTCTCTCCCTCTCTGTGCGTGTGCGTGCATGCGTGGGTGTGTCACACGCCTTAAGGATTCTTATCTTCTGTCATTAAGGTAACATCTGTCTACAATTTGACTTATTTGATAAGGAAACACACCTAGGAACACAGTTTACACCTTTCATTGGTTTCTTTGTCACATTTGTCATGCTGAATGTTCTCTTTGGGTATTGGTTTGGAATCTTTTGATAATGAAACATCTAAAACCAATAGTGTAATATGTCACTAACCTAAGCCAAATCTCAACTATCCATATTTCTTGACCTGATGTATCTAATATTCCTTTGCAGATGCATAAAAAAATGAGATAATATGAGACTTCAGATATATATTCAATAAGATTACACCATATTTTCCTCTATCCATTCGAAATTTTACATGAATATACATTATGCATAGTCACTGATGTTGTTTTTTTTTTTTTTTTTTTTAAATAGTCAACAAATTGTATTTATCCAGTTGAAATCACACCATCTATCCACACACAGAAATAAAAAGAAAAAATCCACATGCTTTCTAAAAATCAACATGAAATTATTAATTTTGTTTTCAAATGTTTGAGGTTTGACAACGGATCAACATTATGGCATTTAGGTGCTCCATTCTTTGGGTAGATTTTCAACTCAAAATTTGTGCCCAGGCAGTGCCGTTAGGCTACTCTTTTCGATTTCCAACTGCCAAGGGATTTTTTTCGTGTGCAACAATGCACATGGGCATCTGATCTCACTACCCAGAGACTAAGGGGAATTACTAGAAGTCCACGTGAAAAAATCGCATCCCTTACAAGGGATTGAACCTGGAACCTCTAGCAAATGTACTTCTGTGTATCATTTGCTGATGTGTAGACTGAATGTGTAGATAATAACCAGAGAAGAAAAATATCAAATAAACGTGATGGAAATAATGGTCCTGATATTCTTACATTTTTCTTATAGAAGATTCTTCATAGTTCTTTCAATCATAGGTGATTTCAAAGTAGAAACTTAGTTTGTGCAATAATCATTGTGAAAAATGGCATATGACTTTCAAAGATACAGCACATTCTGTGCTGTATTTAAAATATTTGGCCAGATTTCTTTTGCATACCCAGACCAAATATGAAATGCATAATAATACACTTTGTGTTGTGTTGATATCCACAGACATAAGCTGAATACAGATGGTGCGTTGCTTGGGACTAAAGGACTTTATGCCAGCTGGTCTTGCCACGCACACTGAACATCGCTATGGGCTGTATTCACACGCCTTTTTACAGCACAGTGAAACATGGGAAAGATGGAAAGGTGCTCAAAGACTAAACTGTACAGATAAATCACACAATGATTAGTTACACTAGTACCTTATCATGGATAAATCACATGATGATCAGTTACACTAGTACCTCATCACAGATAAATCACAAGATGATCAGTTACACTAGTACCTCATCACGGATAAATCACATGATTGATCAGTTACACTAGTACCTGTACCTCATCACGGATAAATCACATGATTGATCAGTTACATTAGTACCTCATCACGGATAAATCACATGATTGATCAGTTACACTAGTACCTCATCACGGATAAATCACATGATTGATCAGTTACACTAGTACCTCATCAGGGATAAATCACATGATTGATCAGTAACACTAGTACCTCATCACAGATAAATCACATGATGATCAGTTACACTAGTACCTTATCACGGATAAATCACACAATGATCATTTACACTAGTACCTCATCATGGATAAATCACACAATGATCATTTACACTAGTACCTCATCACGGATAAATCACACGATGATCAGTAACTCTGATACCTCATCATGGATAAATCACATGATGATCAGTCACACTAGTACCTCATCTCCAAGTCCTAATTTTCCTTTACAGCCATCACCCCATGACAAGACCTGTCCTTCCTCTGTTAGAGCAAGAGTGTGGGCATGCTGCTCTCCCTTGCTGCAACTGACAGCAGTTATCTTCCACTGACATCTACAAAGAATAGGAAGTAATGCATTTGCCAGTTTAGACGAACCCAGTCCAAGAGCACCATCAGAACCTTTTCCTTAAAGGATGAACAATAAAATAGGATTATGTAATATCTTCTTTTTCACTCCTAAAAGGGTGATTGGCATCTGTATTGTTTACAGCTAGGCTGTGAATTCTGTCTTTTAGTCCAACACATCAGATTTAACCTAACCTCAGTTAGTAGCCTTTTATGACATGCAAGGAGCAGTGATTCTACTCTCCTCCCCTCCAAATGGGGGCCCTGAAACCCATACTGGGAATGTCATATCTATACATTTGTTTCCCGTCAATGTCAATTAGAAAAATAGTTCTTCCTTGTTACACAGGTTCTTTATTATAGGATCATCTTCACTGCATGTCAGGCATACCCGCAGGTGCTCCAATCTTCTTCTATGCCTGTTCTGCAGTGTGTCTGCGCAGACTACTATTGTCGATATTGGTTGATGTAGTGATTGTGGGTTTTGTGTGGTTTTCATTTCATGCTGCACTGATTGATATACTCAGATTTTGCAACAGTCAGGGAGAAATCAGCATTTTCCTGCTTCAGGTCTTCATTGATTATGCCTTTTCTGTCCATTTATCATCATCAGTTCTCGTTATGCCTAGTGGCACATGAGGCTTCAGAGAGGACTTTCCATGCTTTCCTGTCCTGTGCAATCTTCAGTGCAGTTTTCCATGTCAATGATGTCTACAATGTTTCTGCCACTTAAGAATCTTTATTCTGTGGTTGTGTCATGAGAAGAAGAAAACTGGAGTACATAATTACGGTGAGAAAGCTGGAGGAGAAAAGAGGCACACAGAGAGACTGGGAAAGAAGATGCTAGACAGTTTGACATCATGGCATGGAAGATCCTCTGTCTCAGAAGTGACTGAAAGTACTCGAGACAAAAGGCTGAAGATAGACATAACTACCAATGACATATGGCATGAACTATAAAAAGAAGTTCACTGAAGATTTGTTACATACAACCAGTATTGACACTGACTACAAATCCTAGATAATTAGTAAACAAGCAAAAAAAAAAAAAATTTCTTAAAGCCTTAGAGTTGTGGTTTTATTAAAAAAATGATTAAAATTCTATAGACAATCCAATGACAAATCTAAATGTTTTGAAAGAGGCCAAGTCGTGAAGAAAACTTATAATAAACCAGAAAAAAGTTATCGTTTTTTTATCACATAATGATAAGAGAAACAGTGAGTTATATTGATAACTGTAACAAAAACACAGATTTATATGTAAGACAGCAAGATCAAACAAAAACATACAATTCTTGATAGCTTCTTGCTATTTAATGGAAAAATGTTAACACACCAACTAGTAAATGTTACTGAAGAGATGGCCATTTGTGGAGGAGTATGATGGCCCAAGTCTGTCAGTAAAGTATTTAATAACAAGCTAGATAATTATTAACTTGCCAATCTGAGTGATTTTAATATTATATCAAGGCAAAGGCAAATGTTTAACCCTTAGTGCAGCAAAGCCTTGAATATGATACTATAATATCTAATTTGAAAATGGAGATGAGGTAGTCACTGCAGCCTTCTGCTATTTTGAGAACCATCTGCACACTCATGTGGGTGATTGTAATAAACATGCTGAGAAAGGTGAAGACAGGTATGATCCATGAAGCACTGCCACACAGCATGCATTATGATAAAAAGAAGATATGTTTTATGTGTTTTTCTATCTTACATGAGGTTCATGTTTCTTAAGAAGAATGAAGAGAACACCACCGACTGAAAAAGAAAAAATGTATACATCCTGACAGAAAATAACTTGAGAAACATGATGAATTGCATGAGAAATAGTCAATCCACATTCGGCCTCTACTACAATATAAAGATGTGTGTGCAAGCAGGACATGAATGATACAGATATTATAGCTGATTCATGTGAGCAGGGGACCATGGATGATGTTGCACAGAGAGGGAAAAGTCAGGAAGGGAATGGGGATAAAGGAAAACAAATTATTGCAGGTAGGTTAAGATTCCAGCATCTGAGAAGATGCATGTTAAACATACGGGACAGCAAGAATGGTTCTGAAATCTCATGCTCTAATTATGGGAAACATTTTCTTAATGCAAGCGGGTCTTGAGTGTCACACTCACTATTACCAAGGGTTATGATGCAAATGCCTAAGTACAGCACTGTATAACACTATCATCTGAAAAGACAAAAAAGTGCCAGGTCAAGCCACATTATTTAGAAGAAAAAAGGCAAGAAACTGGCAAAAGCCAGGACAACAAGAAATTTGGAAGGGAAGACTTCATGAAAACATACCAGCCTAATATTAGGACATGGAGAAACATCTGTACCAGAAACTACTGACAGTACCCAAGACAGGAGGCAGTGGACAAATATGATGACCAACACCACCTGCTGTTGACTAAAACTGTTTACCAAATTATTTTCAAAAAGACAATCCTCACCAGTCATAAATAACAGGCCATCATGGGTCACGATACCACAATGGTCATGTCCTGCTCCAACAGAGACTACAGCTCTGGCCAAAAGATGTTCCACTTTTGTGGGCATTAACAGATCATCCTCTGAACCATGACCAAGCACACCATAGTGTCCACTTCCCCATGAGTACACATTTCCATTAGTGGCCCACAAAAATGTATAGTTATGTCCACACGATACACCTAAATTAGTATAGATAAATCATAAATTATTTAACAAGGTGAACATACAGATCAATTTACACAAAAAACGCAAAAAGTACTATTATGCTACATCTGTATCCGCATAGGACTACAGGCTACCCAAGCCTAGTATAGATGTTATTGGTGACATAATTATAACTTCTTTGGAGGTTGAATGTGCTATCAGGGATTTGCCCTCTTAGTGTGCCACTCAGGATAAGACTTTCAAGTTTCTTTTTCTTACATTCTGTACTCTGGGGCCCTATTATGGAGAAAAGAAGACTAGAATGACTGACTCCACAACAAGCAGTCAACTAATTTGGGGCTTCCTTTGAAGCTGGAGTGCATATCTGCCTGAAAGGCAAGGAACCAACAATCTGCATACAAATAAGTCAGATCTCTAAAACGGATGTGCATGCAACACTTAGGTTCTGGTACAAGACTAAAGTCCAGAGGCGGACAAACAACCAGTTTTACATGGAGTTTACAGCCGGTAAATGTGTGAAGAAGATGACGATATTCCATGTTGTGCTGCATTGGTAATCATATCTATCCAAAACCTTCTGTCTCGTGTGCTTTCAATCAATTCTGTCACAGATGACCTTCCATGCTATGATGTCACATTGTCTGTCATCATCTCTCTCAGTCTCCCTCTGCCTCTTTTCCACCATCACGACGTATTAGAATTTTCTTCTTTTTCTGACAAAAGAATGTAGACTGTCTCCATCTGATGTGGGCAATCAGTTCTCTTCGTGAGTCAGTTTCTTTCAAGACATCTTCATTACTTTTTTTATATGTCCAGGGTATCCTATCACTCATGTATAGAACCACATCTCAGGCACTTCCACATAATTTTTCAAAAACCGACCAACTGTCTATGATTTTATTCCTCATATCAGGATAGGATTTACATAAGACCTGAGAACTCTCTTTCTGGTCTCAGCTGACAAAGAAAGATTGCACAAGAATATATTGAATTTTGTGAAATATATTGAAGTCTCAAGGGTGATCAACCCTTCAGAAGGCAACCCAGATAGACCCAGATAAAAGACCAATTTCTACATTATGACATATACTGGATATATGATGACAGTCCTATAAAATAAGTAACCCAAATGTGTACATCTTTAGATATACTAAGCACAAGGTGCAAGCCCATATTTTTAGGTGATGGGGTCAATATCGCCCAGGCCACTTTAACAACCCAAAACATTTTCTGGCAAACATTTTAGGGTTAGGTTGACCAGGTAGCCTTAGTATATTTTTTTTTAAATGCCTCTATTGGCATTAAAAACTATACCCCCATGGGACCAACTGTGATTTCAAGTCTGGCAGTGGCATCTGTACAGTCACAATACAGAAGTCAGATTACAGACAAATTTAATCACTTGTCTGTATTCTCTATTTACTTTCCTGAGCATTGTTTACATGCCTACCTTCTAGCTTGATGTTCAAGTGTTTGAATCCCCCTTTAAGGAAGGGATTTTTAGAAATCTGACTTGGGCTTTCAGGTTGACCTAGCTTAAAATGGGTGTCTGGAAACGTTCAGAGGAGTACAAAAAAACCAACTTGACACTGACCACAGCATCCGTAGAGTGCAGATTTGTCTATAAGAATATCAGGCTAGAATATCTATTACATCTCAAGATTTGGAAAAAGGTTCTTCTTTATCTTCTCCATCTTCTCTTTTATAGTTTCAGAATCTGAAGGAGATATAAGGTTTATACTTCATGCTTTTCAGGCCACCTCAGTCACAGACACATTGTGCTGTTGTAGTTTCTCAGGTGTTATCTTTCCATATTGTTCTTTCTTTACCTTTTGCTCAATGTCCTTTCGCCCTTTTCCTGTATGCCTTGTATGATATGACATCAGCAGGTATTCTCTCAAAACCATTCGATTTGCTGTCTTTGTATGTAATTTATAAACTATTTGATTTGCTTTCTTTGTATGTAATCTATAAGGAAAGCAATGGCAAACTACTGGATGTAATTTGCCTAGAGAAACCACACAACAGCCAGGGGCTGTTAGGGTTGGTTCTGCAACGTCCTGTAAAGGATACGCAACAACCTTTAATCTATAAACAATTTGATTTGCTGTCTTTGTATGTAATTTATAAACCATTTGATTTGCTGTCTTTGTATGTCATTTATAAACCATTTGATTTGCTGTCTTTGTATGTAATTTATAAACCATTTGATTTGCTGTCTTTGTATGTAATTTATAAACCATTTGATTTGCTGTCTTTGTATGTAATTTATAAACCATTCGATTTGCTGTCTTTGTATGTAATTTATAAACCATTCGATTTGCTGTCTTTGTATGTAATTAATAAACCATTTGATTTGCTGTCTTTGTATGTAATTTATAAACCATTTGATTTGCTGTCTTTGTATGTAATTTATAAACCATTTGATTTGCTGTCTTTGTATGTAATTAATAAACCATTTGATTTGCTGTCTTTGTATGTAATTTACAAACCATTTGATTTGCTGTCTTTGTATGTAATTTATAAACCATTTGATTTGCTGTCTTTGTATGTAATTAATAAACCATTTGATTTGCTGTCTTTGTATGTAATTAATAAACCATTTGATTTGCTGTCTTTGTATGTAATTAATAAACCATTTGATTTGCTGTCTTTGTATGTAATTAATAAACCATTTGATTTGCTGTCTTTGTATGTAATTAATAAACCATTCGAATTGCTGTCTTTGTATGTAATTAATAAACCATTCGATTTGCTGTCTTTGTATGCAATTAATAAACCATTTGATTTGCTGTCTTTGTATGTAATTAATAAACCATTCGATTTGCTGCCTTTGTATGTAATTTATAAACCATTTGATTTGCTGTCTTTGTATGTAATTTATAAACCATTCGATTTGCTGTCTTTGTATGTAATTTATAAACCATTTGATTTGCTGTCTTTGTATGTAATTAATAAACCATTTGATTTGCTGTCTTTGTATGTAATTAATAAACCATTCGATTTGCTGTCTTTGTATGTAATTAATAAACCATTCAATTTGCTGTCTTTGTATGTAATTAATAAACCATTCGATTTGATGTCTTTGTATGTAATTCATAAACCATTCGATTTGCTGTCTTTGTATGTAATTAATAAACCATTCGATTTAATGTCTTTGTATGTAATTCATAAACCATTCGATTTGCTGTCTTTGTATGTAATTTATAAACCATTCGATTTGATGTCTTTGTATGTAATTTATAAACCATTTGATTTGCTGTCTTTGTATGTAATTTATAAACCATTTGATTTGCTGTCTTTGTATGTAATTTATAAACCATTCGGTTTGAGGTCTTTGTATGTAATTTATAAACCATTCGATTTGCTGTCTTTGTATGTAATTCATAATTGGGTCTGTGCCCACAATTTTTCCCACGACCTAATTCTCTTCATGAGTTTTGTTGAAATCGGGAAGTGATGGCCTTAAAACCACGACCCTACAGCCCTGCTGTAAACCACACAAAAACATGCCCAACTGCCCTTTCAAGGGTGAATGCAAAAGAAGAAGAAAAATAAACATGCTGTTTATATTTTTGTACATTCAACGGTAAGAGCCCTGGTGGTGGTGCACCACCACGCGTGGTTCAGCATTTCTACATCCCGTCAGCTGCACAAGATGGCAAGAGATAGGATGCCTTATTCAAGGATAATGAGAACAAGTCGGTGAAGAAATAAACCAGCTGAAATAGCTATAAATAAAACAGTCAACTCTTTCAGTACCAGAAGAAGGTTTTGTAATGGGTATTAATGAAGAAATACCCTTGAATAAAATTCATCAATGAATCACTTTCAAAGTGGTAATGTAACAGTAGCAGTGATCACTGGACATGTCAGATTTCTTGAGTTTGTTTTGACCAAACACAAACATAAGAAAGCATATTTAACTAACGAGGGAGGGATTTCAGCAAATAAGATGATTAACACACCATGAGTTGTTTGCAACTCATGGAGTTAAAAAAAATGATGCCTTTCCAACACAAACAAGGAACCAAACTATACAAACCTGCAATTTTGACACCCACATCAAATGGGACAAGAGTTGGATTTCCCAGCATAGAGCCAACAGTCTGACTAACTGTTGTTGAGTCAAGCAATAAGCAGTCCCCACAGGCTTTCTTATAGCCCCATATATAAACCTGTCCACTGTCAGTGACCGCTGCTGCATGCCAGGAACCACAAGATACCTGGATGAATGAGAATATTAATTACAGCTGTTTGTAATCTCAACAGAAAACCACATACAACAATTTTCTGTCTAAGAACAGGAAACTGCAGGCCCAACTATCACAAGCATAAAATAAAGACTGTAAGTCCCCACAGTGTGCATGTCATATGGGACCACAAACAGAGGAGAGGTAGAGGAGAAGGAGGAGGAGCAGAAATTTGTGCTTTTTTTTAAAACAACACTAATGGCTGCAGCATTAACATTTACATGCAATTTTTGCCTGGAATGTTTCCTTTGCAATTTGTCTGACAGGAATCATGTTAGAACTGTGCCTGAATACTTGTCTGCTGGTGTCTGAATCAGGACTGAGTTCAGGATTTTTTAAACACTCAGCTGAGCTAGCAGGTTGATCCAGCCTAAAATTGATACCAAGAAAAGCAGTTGATGTGACACTGACCACATGACATATTATAATCTGACTCTTAAAATATAGTCTTAGCATCAAATTCCATGAAGTGCATGTGTGCATGTGTTCAAGTGTGCATGTGTTCAAGTGTGCATGTGTTCAGGTATGCATGTGTTCAAGTGTGCATGTGTTCAAGTGTGCATGTGTTCAGGTGTGCATGTGTTCAGGTGTGCATGTGTTCAGATGTGCGCACAAGATAATTAGTAATATTATTTTCTTCTTCTGTTTTATTTTATCCCTCAATGGAACACAGGCCATCGATTAACCTGAGCCAAGACATTCTATATATTGCTATTGCCAACATCTCTCTCAGCAGCATCCTTCCCCGCACAGAACTGCAGGTTATAACCAACTGGTGCAGCCATTATGGGTGCCATAATTATAACTTCCTTGGAGGTTGAACAGGGTATCTGGGCGAGTCCTGTTGGTCTGTCACCAGTGCTGAGACTTTTTTTTAAAAACTGTGTCAGTCTTGTTGGGGAGTCGAACGTTTCAGGCAGGAACTCAGAAGTGACAATGAATATGAGCTTGGTTCAAGTCAGTGGAAGGTCTATGTTACATTTGATGATAAAAGGGCAGAAGAAAAAAAAAATTGCCAGTATACTTAAAATAAAGCATACAGAGATTTATTAAACTATTTATTTCATATCAAACACTAGCAAAAACATAACTAAAGTAGAGGGCCCTTTTCCACGCCTTTAGGTGTATAGGGCATATAGGGCATGACCTATATTTTTACAGACCAATCGGCGCAAGATGGGTGATGTGGTCAGCATCACACCGCCTGCCTTTACTTCCCAGGACTGCACCTGGTACACACTCAAAGATGGGTCAGGTGGAAGCCAAGGTCATTTCTGAAAAAAAATCCGGCTCCACCAGGGAGCGAACCCATGACCTTCCAATCTGCAGGTGAGCGTCTAGCCGCAACGCCACGGCGACTCAGCAAAAACACATATTTAAAGAAATTAATGTTTAATATTTTTTCAACTGGAATATTAAATAACATCTTCAATATGATTTCCATCATTTGCTATGCAAAGGTTGATGCACTTTGCAAAAATCTCCACTGCTGTCAGTTCTAGCCCATTCATTCTTTATTTCCCACGTGTCCAGACATTAGGGATACCCTTCCCTCTATTTTTATTTTCATTCATAAAATATCAAGATACCTTTAACAAACAGTGAAGAAGTGTGGCTCTGTGGCTTAGAGGTTAGTGAATGCATTTCACAAGCCTCAGCATACTTGGGTTTAATTTCTGTAATAAGGGATTTAGAAAAAATGCATTCCTGTTGCTTGCAAACTGTGGTACACGAGCTATACCATGGAAGAGATTGCAGCATCATCATGTAATACTTCCAGACACCCAATAAATGCACATAGCAGCTACAGCCAACCTTCCTCATGGAGACAGTACATAAAAACAGTCACACTCCTGCTTCTTCTACAAAAACATTTCTTTACAAATAAGTGATGAAACAAAGGCTTGATTAAATGAAACCCATGGCAATGGTTTCATTCATATTTCCGTACCTGGCTAACTTGACCAAAACTGCTCACTTCAGTGAAAAAGCAGGCATCATTTTCAGTGTCTCCCAAACCAAGACGTCCATATTTTCCATACCCAGTAGTGAAGACACTGCCATCTACAGTAACCACAGCTGCAATAAGGTTTCACAATGTTATTTACTCAACTCTTTTGCTCCAAGATAAGCTGCTCTTCTTCTTGCTATTAATTTGGCTTCTAACTTGCTAAACCTTCCACATTCCTACAAGTATTGTCTTAACACCCTCTGATTTAGCCATTTATTACACTCAAGTAGCAACAGCTTGAGATAGAGTTCAGACAAACATTTCACATCTGGACTAGCCACTGAATGCATGGTGCAGTGTCTGGTACTGAAAAGGTTCAATTATAACAGCCATGCAGAAAACCAGGCACAGATCTCAGTCTATATAATGCACAATCATCACTGTGGCTAGCAATTAATGCTGATGATAGAAGTACTTGTTAATGGAAGTCGAATTAATCTGCCTTAAAGGTGACGAACCTTCAGTCTGCATACAAATAAGCCACTGAATAGACTGCATACACTGAGTGTACCAACTGGACCTGCTAGACAGGAAAAATATGAGGGAGTCACCCGTCATTACATCAGCCAGATTAGAATAGGAGTTGATTGCCTAAAAACACTTGGAGACATACTCAGGAAGAGATTGGAGCACTTGTGGTCATGTCCGATGTACAATGAAGATGATCTCTAAAATGAACAACAAACAAATAAGCCAGATCTGTAAAACGCTTGTGCACGCAAAACTAAAAAAATGCTACAAGACCAAGTCCAGAAGTGGAAGACCAACCAGAACTTTCTGCCAGAGCTTTCAGCTGGTGAACACAAAGAAGAAGAGGAAAAAATAGAAAATCACCAACTCAATCATTTAAAAAAAAACAATTTTAAATTAATTTCATGTCTGTACAATCACATTTTCTATCTTTTAATAGTTGTTAATAGATTTACAGAGTTCAACATCACAGAGTTCAACATGTTAAGTGATGATATGGTGAATTTTATTGATTTCTATTACCTGTAAACAAAGCTCCACAGCTGATATCCTTAGCTGTCTCCAGTTCCAGACCATCTGCTGTTTTATTTGCAAGGTGCGGTGTGTACTCAGTATCTAACCTTCCTGTGCCCAGCTGGCCAGTTTTCCCAAGACCCCAAGTGTAAACAGCCATTGTAGTGTAAAATCTGTTTACAAATTTTTTTTTTTATACAGGCTTCATTATTTGGACAGTTGTATGTGAGATATTCTACTAAAAATGTGTCACATCTATTTCATGAACTCTTTTGGAAGCCTGGCACTTACAGGAGGATCCAGATCCTGTATATGTCGCTTGATAGGAATTTCTTTAGTGAAATGTTAACTATTGTTAACGAGACGTTTAGTTATTTTCACTGACTGTGTGCCTGTGCAGCATTTAGGTCAAGATATGAATATATTTACTAAAAAATAGCATTTAGGGTGATCTTCTTGTGCACCAAAAAGCTTTTTTAATGCGATGATGACGTAAAATTTTTCCCATAGTTACAATGACAGAGGCCACAGGGTAAGTGCATGAGTCACCTGATATCTTTTAAGCCCCTGGGGTATTCCATTCAATGGTTCATTGATTATTGGGTACTCCCTTCATATATCTTTACAAATTTGGAGAAAAAACAATTTTTAACATAGGCAAAAAAATGTTATACACATTTATTAGTGATCTGTGTCAAAAAAAAAAAATGTAAAGGATTCTTTTAAGGTGGGCCATTGAGGAATTCCCATGGGTTTATGGTACCTTCTCTTTTTTTTTTTTTTTCAGGGCTAAGGACTTAAGAGGCATGAAAGCTGTATAAGGAATTCAAGGAAACTGGATAACATAATGGTGTGATCGACTGTCATATTTAGGATAAGACCTGAACACTTAGGGATAAAAAGAGTAAGATAAATCCACTGTAATATTTTACTTTTCTGATTTAAGAATCAGCATCAGCACGTATGAGGAGATACCCACAGATGCTCCAGCTCCTGCAGCAAATGTCCAGTAATACACTGTTTGTACACAAGTCACTCTTTATCTCATACACCCTGTATACTGGATCCATACGTCAAATTCACACAACCTTACATATGTTATTTTATCTAACTTAAAATCTTCCATCAGTTTTTGTTTATAAATGGCTTGCCTTGTCCAATATGACTTGTTCCTGCATCTATCATTTCTGTCACCAAAAATTTGCTCTTTCATTACCTCATATTCCTGCATAGGCTGCACATTTGCATGCACACAAGTCCCTGTATGTGATAATGGCTGGTAACCATGCATGTCACAGTGGTCAGCTCTGAAGCTTCCCCAATACCAGATAAGAAACATTCATTGAGATTAGGGTGACCATAATATCTTGAGCTGAAAACAGAACATCCCACTAATATTTTGAGCTGAAAACAGAACATCCCACTAATATTTTGAGCTGAAAACAGAATATTCCCCTCATTTCTTGAGCTGAAAATGGGATTTTACTATATTTTTACCTTTTTTTTTTTAACTTTATATTACTAATATTTTCAGTTGAAAACACATATCCTACTAATATTCTGAGCTGAAAATAGGACACTCTTAGCAAGTCAGTTTAACATTCCCCTCCCCTTAGTTTTTTCTATTTTACTGCAGTAATTGGATTAATTACTCACTGACATTTAAAACTTGAACCACTTCCGTCAAGAATTAAACTAAATAATATGCTCCTTAACTGCAGAGAAAAAGCATGCTACAATGAAAATTCTCATTAACAAACATCAGGCATTAAAAGTATCTAAAATTATGACATCTAATAAGGTTTACCTATATAATTATAAGATGTGTATGTTCTATTCTCCAGCTTATTCTTGGATTTTGATCAAACTGAACAGCTGACGTTTTGTTAGTCCTGACGGTTTGGCTGCGGCACACCCAAAAATGTGAATGTCCAAGTGAAAATGGTCCTGCCTCTGTGAAAAAGGAAGGTATGGTCACAATAACTATGTTTCCTCAGGTAACTCCATTTTCAGCTATCCGCTTCCGAGCTGCAATAATTGCCTCCACACATATGGTTACAGACATGCAACGTTGGTAGTTTCAGAGCAGTGTTTCCAAAAGTGAGCGTTACTGCCCTGGAGAGGAGGGGGAGGGACTGTCAGGCTGTTACAACAGGCTCTTACAAAAGAAATGACTCAACAATAATACAGACTTTAAAAAAAATTACATTCCAAGATTTAAATATAAATGAATAAACTAAGACTGGAAAATTCAAAAGAGGGTAAACAAAGGAAGTGCACAGATATACAAATAACTAAACATTTTTACCTGTCATTTTGAGGTTTTCAACAAATTCCTCTTCTTTATATAAATAAAGTGATACCTCAGTATATGTTTGCTTTCTAACAAGTTCAATTCATTATATGGCCAGTTAAGATGCAAACAATTTAGCCTGGTTTATTACCTTTGTTTAAAATGTGACTCGATTACTAGAACTTGTCTGAGTCAAAATGAGTCTCATGACACGAACAAGTCCAAGCAGAGAAAAGGCAAAAAGAAAGTGAAAAGGTGCTTTAATAATATCCTACCCCAAGCAGGGGAAACTCACAGGTCATTGGACAGTCTAAAATTTTAGTGGGTGGTAGATAGGCTGCATGCTGTCGTGGGACCTAGGCTGCACTATCTTGTGGGGTGTAGGTGGGTTGGGGTTAGGGCCAGTTCTAGATGTTTTGGGGTCATTAAAAGCATCAAAAAGTCGGAAAACCCAGTCTTACCAGCCTTTAAAATGTTGGACTGTCCTGTGACATCATCTGGGGTAAGATAATAATAAAGAAACAGTGAAAAACACCAGCGTTTCAAATTCCCGAAGTTTTATTGGAAGGGCACTCTCCTTACAAACCATAACATATCCTCTTCCTTCTTTTTCAGCACAACTGTAATAGGTACTGGACTCTTCTCAGCAAGATAATTTTCATTCATTTCATTTTATGGGTCGCTGAGTAAATTACAAAGAACAGACCAATGACAGACATGTAAAAAATCCCTAGGCAGTTGAAAATCAAAAAGAGTAGCCTAACTGCACTGCCCGGGTCAAATTTGGAGTTAAAAATCTGCCCGAAAGTATTTCAATTTTCATGATCCTCTCCGGTGCTACAGAGTTCGTGCAGGCGTTAAACTACGAAAATTAAATTTAAAAAATAAAGGCTCTACTTTGAACTTCCCCATAAAATGGCGGCCGTAATATGATGCCGTTCGAAAGAGAGCTAAATTGGCCAATTTCTGGCCATAAAATATCCAAAAATATCAGAATAAATATCAGTAAAAATATATGTGCCGGCTCCGCATAACGAAACAAATGCTTTAACAAGGTCTCGGCAATATGTTACTTGCGGACCTGCTTCTGCGAGTCTGCCCTCACCGCCGACCGTATCCCCCGCGCCGCGCGTATGGGGACTAAACTAGATGGCTGGGACTCACAAGCGGCAGCTACCGCATCTCCTGCAACTTCCTCCAATTACTTTACTCTTTTCGTCTGCAGAAATGGTCGGTATTTATCGTCTGCTACTACCGTGTGCAATGTTGGGCTCTACTTGGAATAACGGTTCTAAATAAACTACGCAGAAAGTTAATCCCAAACAGAGCCTCATTATGTCCTGCCCTACAAACATTTAAAAGCTGTAACTCGGGAAATATAAGGAACGGAAAGTATGAGGAAAATAAGGGAATTATAGTACTTACAGATATTGAAATTGGCCGACTATAGTGCCACCTCCGAGAGTATCACCTGCGCCGCTACGCGCGACGCGGAAGGAACTAAACTAGATGGCTAGGACTCACGAGCAAATACATTGGAGGAAGCTGCAGGAGCTGCGGTAGCTGCTGTTCGTGAGTCCCAGCCATCTAGTTTAGCCCCCTCCGCGCCGCGCGTAGCGGCGCGGGGGATACTCTCGGAGGTGGCACTATAGTCAGCGAACAGCGATCGGCAACTTACATATAACTCGGGCCCTGTCGTAGGATAGCGCTATCGGGAGTATTGTCGCCTGTCGGTAATTTTTGTCGTATGCAGTTAAGCCTTGTTTTGCCGCCATCTAATCGCCGTAAGAAATCTGTTGCGTTCCGTGATAATGTTGTGCGCAGTTAATACTACTTTTGACACGGTTGAATTGCCGCAAAAGACATGCGACTTTTACATGTGTGAGGCTCTGTTCAGGTTAACTGTCTGCGTTGTGAGGATCTGTTTGGGTTAACTTTCTGCGTAGTTCAATTAGGACTGTTATTCAAGTAGAGTCCAATGTTGATATTGATTGTCAAGTAATCCTAGTTTTGCCGCGATTTGTTCCTTGGCAGAAAGTCCGTATTTTAGATATACGTGAACACCGTTCGGATATTTGAGGATATTTTATGGCCAGAGTGTGCCATCATATTACGGCCGCCATTTTATGGGGAAGTTCAAAGTAATCAAAGTAGAGCCAAAATAAATAATACGAATAATATAAAAAATCAGTCTATAGGAATTTTACTAAAGTTAGCATTTCCTTGTAAAAAAAAAAAAAAAAAGAAAATTAGCGAGAATGTATTCCTCATATATGTGTTGTAAGTCGACATGTAACATGAAGATATATTAATAAATCCCCTAGTTTTATCATTGAGGAAATAGAATCCATGTTTACTTCATTTTGTTTGCCCTCGAGACAACAAAAGTAAATTAGTGACATACACTTTTGAACAGTCCTAGCAGTATAATATTTAAGTTGAAAGCTTGGATCCAGTGTCATCACCATCAAGTGCCTTGCCAACTGGAGTAGGCATTTATGCATCTCCACAGATCTCGGTCTGGTGTTCTGGATCAATTCCACTGGTGATATTTTTCCAAGCCACTGCTTCTTCTACCAGTGATCTTTCCAGTCACCAAGGTCTTCTTCTTAAAGTCAATGCCGTGTGGCGTTGGTAGTCATGTCTATCCACAACCTTCTGTGCACTTTAAATAAACTCTGGCACAAATGATCTTCTATGCCATGATGTCAGACCGTCCAGCATCTGTTCTCTCGGTCTCCCTCTGCCTCCCCTCCCCTCCAACTTTCCTACCATCTCGATGTACTCCAGTTTTCTCCTTCTCATCACATGACCAAAGAATGTAGATCGTCTCTTTCTGATGTGAACAATCAGTTCTCTTCGTGAGT